TTAACAAAAAAAATATTTTTTAATACGGACTAAATCGGAACAAACTGCAACTGTGACCTTCATGGGCTCGACCCGGATGGGTCAGCGGACGGGCCTAGGTTGTGGGCCAAAATTTGTGGACCGACCCGGAACCCGTAGCGGGCGGGCTTTTTTTACGCGAGCCGTTACCAAACTCATATGTTGGTGGGGTCGACCTGGCTCGAACCACCCGAACTGACACCTCTAGATATGAGTTATATTGCTCACCCGTTGATGTGGCATTGTCACGTCTACAGATGAAACCTTTTTTTTTTTTTATTTGTAAAAAAAAACTTTTTTGCTTGATCCACTGACGTGGCATGAACAAAGTTTATCATGTACACTTAGTCCCACTTTCTTATTGTCCCAATCTAATCAATTATAGTTTACCACATGCACTCTAATAAAAATCCTGGTTACAAAGATATATTGGAAATTGTAATTCACTTCTATTCAGTTACTTACAGTTTGTAATTCAGTTAATTAGTTAACTTCCAGTTAGTTAGTTTCAATTAGTGAATCAAGCTGTCATATTCTATTAAATGAGCTAGCATATTATGGTTGAGCTCCAATTGCATTTATACGGAGAATATGGGAACATTACAGTTTGAATAAATATTTTCTTCATCTCCTACAAATTTATTCTTCAACATTGTTATTCAATTTACAGCTTTTTCTTTCAATATGGTATCAGAGCCTTGTTTCGCTCATGCTTGAAGCTTGTAAATTACGATGGATTCAACAAATAATTCTCCATCATCAGCAATTGATGATGAAACCAATCCATATTTTCTACATCACTCAGATAACCCAGGTATTGTGCTCGTTCCACAGCAATTGGTGGAGATAATTACGTATCTTGGAGTCGATTGATGATGATTGCATTCTCAATAAAGAACAAGTTACGATTCATCAATGGATTCATTCCACAACCTGAAAATAATCTGGAATTACTCAATTCATGGATTTAAAACAACATGGTCATATCCTGGATTCTCAATTTTTGTCCAAGGAATTCTCTTCAAGTATCTTGTATTCTAAATCTGCTCATGAGATTTGGATAGACCTAAACGAGCACTATCAACAAAAGAAGGGGCCATGCATATTCCAGTTAAGGCGAGAGCTAAAGAATCACACAAAAGGTCAGTCATATGTTGGATTATACTTTTCTAAGTTGAAACGATTTCGGAAGAACTCAGTAACTACAGACCTGTGTGCTCTTGTGGAAAATGTGTTTGTGGAGGCACAAAAAAGCTTGCTGAGCACTATCATATGGAATACGTTATGTCCTTCCTCATGGGGCTGCATGAGTCATTTGTTCAGGTTCGGGGTCAATTGCTATTGATACTAGGGTAAGGGGGATAGTTGTTCCTTTTTGCACTTGTTTCTCAAGAAGAACATCAGAGAGCAGTTAATGTAACCATGAATACATCTGGACCAGATTCTATGGCTTTTCAAGTCCAAAATGACACTAAGAAGGCTGGTACTGGATATCATTTTATCAAACCTCAAAGGAACTGTGTGCACATATTGTGGATATACAGGCCACGGAGTTGACAAATGCTATAAACTACATGGTTATCCTCCGCATAAACCCAGACAAAGGCCTGGAATGAACAATCCATCCGGATCAAGTAATACTGTTTTGGCTAACCAAGTTTATGATCTTGTTATGAGTCAGTCACAAGGGAATGTTGGAGAAAATGCTGGAGGATTTATGCAAATGCTTAATGTTGATCAGTACCATCATCTGATGAGCATATTGAATAGTCATCTTAAGACTGCAAAAGTGGATATAGAGGCAAACAATGAATCAGGTGCCTGCTTCTCAATCTCTATTAGTCCAACACTTAATTCATCTAAATACTGGGTAGTGGATTCAGGAGCTGCAAGTCACATTTGTTCTAATCCTTCAGCCTTTAGTACAATAAACCACATTGAGAATGCTTATGTTATATTGCTAAACCATACTAAGATCCTTTTGCAATCTATTGTAACTGTGCATATGTTTTCTGGTTTGGTACTGAGTGATTCATCCCTCAATTCAAATTCAATTTACTGTCAGTAAATTCTTTAATCAGTAAATTATCATTGTGTATCAAGTTTCTTACTGATTCATGTATCATTCAGGACCTGCACACATTGAGGATGATTGGCAAGGGTAGAAGAAATGTAGGACTTTATGTGATTGAAGTCAAT